TGGGGGAATGGGGGAAGGGTGAGGATTGTTGATATAATGCTTTGACTATTTCTAATACACATGTGTCAAAGAAGCTGATAAAAGCACCCTGTAATTTCCCCCCAGTTTTTTACCTATCTGCCTGCCTGGCTGCCTGGCTGCCTACCTACCTATCTACCTACCTACCTACCTACCCACCTACCTACCTACCTACCTACCTATCTATCTATCTATCTATCTATCTATCTATCTATCTATCTATCTATCTATCTATCTATCTATCTATCTATCTATATCAAGTACTAACATTAAGTGGCCGTTTCAGCGTGGACTTGCTTCTCTGTACTCTAAAATATACCTCATCATCTATTGGCAAGCCCACTTACTGACACTCTCCTTTCTCTCCTCCTCTATGGTGCTTATAATTTCTTGCAGCTCCTCCGAGACGTCATTTCCGCCACGCATGCGCTTCAGCACCAGCTCCGCCTTTTCAGTCAGGCCCCGCCCCACGAGCCATCGAGGAGACTCCGGCATGAAGAGAAAGCCGGCAAACTGGACCAGGCCGGGAAGTGCCGCCATGCCGAGCATGTACCTGTGGGTTGAGAGTCAGACGTCAGGACATAAGCGATTCTGATGTGTCGAAGGCTGTTGTTGTTGCTGCTGCTGCTGGTGTTGATGTTGTTTTTTGTTGCTTATGTTGTTGTTGTCGTTGTTGTTGTTGTTGTTGTTGTTGTTGTTGTTGTTGTTGTTGTTGTTGTTGTTGTTGTTTTTATTAATTTGTTGCATATGTTGTCGTTAATATTGTTGTTTTTCTGATTGTATGTAATTATTGTTGTTGCTCTCGTTGTTGTTGTGTTTTTTTGTTGTTGTAGCTTATATTTGGTCGTGTTGTTAGGTGTGAGCCCAAGGCTGGGGTAGATATGCCATTTCTCTCGCAGCCAGTCTGTGCTGCATTATAGCCATGCACTCAGCCAGTTTTTTTTCCTTCTTTCCTGTTGGTGTTAGGGTTATACAAAACTTATATGTTCATTGTGTGCCTCTCCAACTTCTATTTCCTTGTGGAACACTTTGTCTCTGAAAACAAAAAGACCTCAATCGTGGGATTTATCTCTTAAATGGACACGGGATAATATGTACAATCAACGGGATATCAAAGGCAACAAATATGAGCAACAGGGGGAATAACTGTTGGAATGTTTGTTCTAAAGATAAAGAAGGAGTACCGGGTACTTTGGAGCCTTGGAGGAAATGATTCTTGTGAATATTTTTTGTCTTAGATTCGGGAGTATGGATTTCATGCCTTTGTCGTAGTTCTAGACTCACATATTACATAGAGTTAAGATGAGTTAAAGGTTCCAATAAAAGCCTCAGAAATATATACCTTTATGTCTGTCTGTCTGTCTGTCAGTCTGTCAAGCTACCTGTCGGCCTGCCTGCCTGTTTGTCTGTCTGTCTGTCTGTCTGTCTTAACATTGTTATAAGCTAAACACTAGTTCTATAGCGTCCTAACCACTATATTGATATCAAACTGTTTTTTAATAAAAGAAAACGGCAATATTTCAGATCTGCCATATTCATTGAACATTTGCTGGATTCATGTAATAGGAATGGTTTATAATCAAGTTTTGGGTAGAGGTTGAGGTAGGATACAGGAAGTGTTATCCTAAACCTTTCCCCACCCCTACCCTAAACTTTACCTTAACCCTAACCCCAACCCTATCACTTATGTTATTACTCGATTCGAGTAAATTACTTTGAATACAATTAGCTGATCTGGGAGATTGCAGGACAACTTTTCTTCTAGTTCTCTCTTTCAGCAGTCTTCTTCAACAGACCTCCAGCCGTCTGGTTTGACGTAAGAGAAGGCACCAGCGAGCAGGCTGGAGACCACAATGCCAGTGTTGATCATCATCTGATGTAGAGACACCAGGCGGCCTCTGATGTGTGTGGGAGATGCCTCAGCCACGTAGATGGGGACAACCACTGACGCCAGTCCTGAAACATTAGCGCAGCGTTGAAGGTGAGTTTGTCAGAGTTTTTTTTTTAAGATTATGAATGGAATACAGATGGAGCTCAATTATATTTACGTACGCAAAAGCTCTAATACATGCATACATATAAAAATGCACTCACACACACAAACACACACACACACGCACATGTCTGTGTTCATGCATACTCACATACGCATTAGCACAGAAAAGCACACATATGCACACAAACACACATACACACACAGATGCACACACATTATATCTAGTATGTTTTGTTTATGTACTCTCTTAATTAATAAATTGTGTGTGTAACGTAGGTGCAATACTGTTTACCCAGACTTCCCTGCAGGAATCAATAGTTGTGTTATTTTCTTTCCTTTTCTTAGATGAACTGATGGGAAGAGCAAACCCGTGGGTCTGTGGTGGTGTAGATTTTTCAGACGCCTGGTCTTCTATAATGTGGACGTCTTGAGTTTTATTCCCACAATATCTCAAGAGATTTTAAAACATTTTACCTTGCTTTTTTTTTATCTAGATGAGACTTATCGAAGATGGATGATTAGATAAATAAACTACTGTTAAAGAAGCACAAGGTGCAAATGTTGAAATCGGAAAAAATAACTGATATACAGCCGTCATTGATGTTAAGGAAAACATCCTTTACATTCAAGAAAACGGTTGCCGTGAGTATTCTGTGTTACCATAGGTTGAATGATTTACACAAACAAACCCACACCCACACATACACACAGAGCATGAAATTAGGATAAATAGCGTACAACCTATATTTCTAGGACAATAGTTGTAAGGCATGTAAAGCGTGCAAGTAATATCTAAAAATGCATTAGTCACCCCATTCAGAACGAGAAAGACGTGAATGTTTTGTAAATTATCATAAGTTAAGCAGTATAAAAAATCATGTTAATAACATAGCCTCAGTAATTGTAAACTCGTTCAAGATTGTGATTCTGAAATCAAAATATCAAAATATCTATCCTTGATTGAGTGAAAACTATACAACAAAAGTGTCGTTTCGCGTAATGAACTCATTTAAATTATAATTCCGGTCAAGACGAAGAAAAAAAAAGGGCTTACAAATATAATATAATA